GTACACAGTTGTATGATGGTTTTCCAGCCATGGGAATATTTACCCTTCTTGTAATTAGGCACAGGGCTACCTACATAAATTGAGTGGGTCGGTCCTATTCTCCTGTCCTATTTGGAGGCAATACAAGTAATTTCTACGCTGCAAGCTCCTAGCAACTGTGTGCGCAAGGGAATGTTTTGTCTCTGCTCCATGGTCGCGAGCCCTGGATTGTGCGTGTGGAAGACGAGCAAAGGCTGGCGGTATTTGACCGCCACTGTTTGAGTGACGTTTACCGACTTTGTCTCAAAGTAAACAGTCTGCACTCGCCGTGACAAAACTGCCGGGTCGTCCAAGAAAAACGACCGAGGTGGTTTTGGTATATTCTTCGTCGTCAACCTCCTTACTGCACTCGCTCCAGCACCGTAAGCCACTTGGATATGTCGAGGAGGGGGAGGTGGGGTAAACTTGAAACCTGGCTCAACGCAGTTCGTCAGGACATGTGTACGGTTGTTAGACCTTCGGTATTCAGCCTCCACACGTCTTCTTAAAAATATGTGGAAGGATAAGAACTGCCCGCCTAGGTAGGGCAGGCAGGACACATTGATAGGCTAAGATTTCTGGACAGTATTCTGCAGAGGATTTCGTCGGTGTATCCATAAACACTGCAAAGACTTAAGTGTTCTCAAGCTGCACTTCTGACCTGAAGTAGGTACCTCTTCAAGTAGACAACTTTAAAATACGTCGAAGTGGGGCTGCTGCCGAATTGACAGAGTACGGACGACATTAACCACCGAAATGATGCTGCTTATAGGTTTTTTTAATCCCTCGAGCGAAGTACACCGGCTGCGACTTAAATGAAACAGTCCGCTGCGACAACAGCGTAAGGATATCGTAGGTCATCGAAGAAAAACGGCTGACGTGGTTTTGGGCAGGTTTTTCCGTGGTCCACCTAACAAACGCCATGTTTCTGCCCTCGATCCGGCACCGCTACTCAATTTGTGGCCTTGAAGAGGAGATAAACTCAAAAAAACTGACTCGACACACTTCGTCAATACATTGATACGGTTTTTGAACCTGTAATATTCTATCTCTGGACACGAAATAGTTTGTCCAGACGTTGAAGTGCATTTTGTGATCTTCAGTGTACGGTCTCCATCGCTGGTGAAGAGCATGAGTTGGGCCGTCCAGATTTGCTGACGTAGATCCTCATATGCTTGGAGAGGTACACAATCTGTGGCATAATCGAGGCGGACTAGATTAAGCATGAACGTATGCATACCAAATACCTGTAAATAAGCCCACTCTTGTTTGAATTCATAGAATCAGCAGCAGTCCGTGCGGGATGAAAGTGGGTTTTTATACCGCTCATGCTCGAGACAGTATGCATGTCGTCATAAATACGTTAGCCTGGAGCGTTGATCCAAACTTAGCTATATTACGACTTTCGTTTCTATTTGAATTCATGCTTACTACGAGTTCGGTGATTGCATTGCCCTTCAATGGTAAATCGGAGTTCTCTCGTTATCTTCAGCCACAAGCCCGGTTTCTCGTGGGTTTGTACGGGACAGCGGACGCTGTTGATTCCGAAAGGCCGGAGCCCTCTGACAATCTCGATGATTATGCAGTCAGTGAAGATGACAACAGTGATTCCGAAGGTCGTCAGGGCAATGCTTTCGACGAAATAGAGAAGGCCAGGTTCCTCGTGGGATGTCAGTCAGTTCGACCCAACGGCAGTCGGGTTGGTTTACTTTTCTTTGACATTATCTTACTCTTATTTGCGTCTACGGCAATAAAGCAGTTAATCTCTCCCATTCATTCTTTCTTAACTTCGAATAGGTTCACCTGGTCACACTGGAGGAGCATAATTCATCCCAAGGTGCTATGCTGACTAGCCAGTCGTTCATCCATGCCGATGGCGAAGTGCTTGGTCTCGCTGCCTTCCCTGCAGCACCTCATATTTTTGCCTCAATCTACTCTGCAAGTAAGCAACATGTTACTCGTTACTTGTGAAATATCAGTAGTTGCTGCGTTCTGAGTAAATTATAATTGTGTGATTTCGACTAATAATTTGCCTTCCGCGCAGTCTCTCCGTCAAAGACC